AAAATAGCGGTATGCAACGTGTGTGAAGCAGAAATCCTGCAGCTCCACCCGCTGTGACGGACCGGTGAGCGGAGCAAAACACACACAAGAGTTAGACCTAACACACTTAGCTATTTTATCTACGTCTGGAACAAGCTACACTAGTTATAAATATATTTATTCTTCACTGTCGGGTCACTCATTACTGGATCAGTGAGCTGCTTGAGATACTGACAGGCTGTCAGGAGAGAGAGAGGAAAAGAGAGCGCTTCCGCTCATTTCTCCCTTGTTATTCTCCAAAGTTAATGTAAACTTGAATAATGTACTTCATTTTAATGTAATAATTATGTTGGTTGTTGTTTGTGAAGCTCCAGTGAATGAGCCCCAATAACTGAGTTTTAAACATCACTTTAAATGGAAGATCCCCATAGGCTCCGCCCACTCGATCGGATCGGCCCCAAAATTGGCGATCGGAGCATCCCTAGTTATAAGTTATATTACATTTTATTGTCTTTTGACTGTCTCGTTTTGTCTCAACAGAAAAAAGATCCAGCTCAGTTTCTTCAGGTTCATGGCCGAGCGTACAAGATTCATCTGGATCCTGCTGTGGCCACGGCTGCAGAGAGCCCCATCAACATGTGAGCACACACACACACACACACACACACACACACACACACACACACAGCCCAGTTATTTTGGGATGTTGCTGATCACATTATACCCCTTTCCATTGTTTGTTTCTTTAAGGATGCCATGGCAAGGAGATGCCAACAACATGATTGACAGGTTTGATGTAAGGGCTCATCTAGACTACATCCCTACATACACTCCTCCACTGCTCAGCACATCGTAAGTACCTTTGAGTCCAGACTCTGTCCGTTGTAAATATGTATGCGTTTTGGACATTTCAGGCTCTATATTAAAGTTGAATACAAGTCATGATGAATATTAGAAAATACCATAACTAACATAAACACATTTTTTAGAGATCATGCTTAGCAATCTTTTTTTTTTTTAACAAAATGAACATGTTTAGACGTTACAAAGTACATTACAAATGAGTTCGAGTAGGTGTAGAGCTAGGAAAGAAAAATATATGCGGGACCTGGTTGTGCATCAGATGATTAATGTGAATTGATGTTTGGTAGGGCGCATTCAAAAACATTTGGCAAAGTTTTTAATGTAAAGCAATAACAAAATGATTACTAATGAGGGAAATTGCTCTTCATGCAGTTGCAATACAAAGAGTGCAAATGTAAAAAGTCTCAAGATAGTTACAACAATAAGTGTAAATGTATACAATGCCAAAATTAGGTTTTAATGTGTGTTGCAGTAGTAATTTGAAAGTTGCTGTGCTGTTAATGCAGATTTTGAGAGGTCTGTCCTTGATATTGCATTTGATGTCCTATAATTGCACATTACATCTCATATGGCCTCATGGACTCTTTGTCTCAAACAGGAACCCAGAGCAGGACATGGAGGAGAGGAAGTGCAATTATGAGCGATACAGAGGCCTAGTGCAGAATGACTTTGCCAACAGTGAGTCAAAACCCCATAGCTGAGAGAAATGAATTTAATTTGACTAAAGCATTACATTTACATGTTGTTTCCTGTTGTAACACAGTTAAGCACCTGTTAATATATGTGTTCTTAATGTGCCTATAATGGTGTGTTAGCCTGCCCTCAGTGGGTATATTTTGCTGTTGTGTTCTCTATTTAACTCCCTGCTGTCCTCCTACAGTCTCTGAGGAGCAGTGTTTATACCAGATCTATCTGGATGAACTCTACGGTGGCCTGCAGAAACCAAATGAGGACGAGAAGAAAAAGTAATTTGAATTGTAATACAATGGTTGTTTCATGATTCCTGGGGTTTCTTGGTTTGATAAATCCTTCCTCTCTTTGTGTAGACTGGCTGAAAAGAAAGCCACCATTGGTTACACGTATGAAGACAGCACTGTGATGGAGCCCGACCCCCAGTCAGACAAAGAGGAGGATGATTCAGAAAACAGCGAATCGGAAGAGGATGAGGGCATCCCAGATATTGGTGAGGAAATGAGTCTGGCATTAGTGAGATTTATCCGGAAACTTCGAATTTCAGAGACAAAAAACAGTTTTGCAGGATACACTACACCAATGTATAACAACCACTTTCAGTTTGCAAATCTTCCATTCTCTTAAAGAAAACAAAAACCTGTCTAAATGGGGGGGGGACGCCGCTCCAGCTCTTCACATATTGCAGTACCCATAAGGAGCCGTACACATGCCGCAGTGTTTGCGTGGCAGTGTCTTTAGTTGTAAGCACAGTGGCGATCTGTTGCTATTAGCATCTGGTTAGCTAGCTATGCTAACGAATTTAAAGAGCTTTTCTACAACCAAGTGGAAGAGAGCTCTCTCCTGAGAGGCTCAAATAACCTCAGCTCAGTGAGGTTAAGGCACACCTTGATATGATCATTATAGTTATTAATGAGACATTAGAGACTAAATAAAAGGTATAAAATACTATATGACAGTAACAAAAAAGTTGTTGAAAATAACAAGAATACAGTTTAAAAGGGGAGTGATTTGTAAAATATCCAAAAAGAAAAATCTGCTTACAGTTCTGTTTCATATGGGTGTTGAAAGATGTACCCATAGATCTCCTCATGTTGCTCTCAAAGTGCACCAGATTGACGCTTTTAACTTCAATATTTAAAAAAAAATCTTCCCGGGGGAGCATGGCCCCCCAGACCCCCCTAGAGGAGGTTAGGCCCACACCCTACTTAAATCATGTTCATCATGGATAGGATACTAAATACATTTGCACACATGTTGTGTCCATATCTTTCTGTTTTGGTGGTCATGCCACACCGTGCACGTGCATGCATGCATGCGCAAGTCATGGTAAGATATCTGCTTGTTCTTTGCACAGCATGAAAGAAAGGCCAAATGAATGGGCTGTGATTTTAGTTTTTTTAAGCAGAGGTTGAGTTCAATAATTTGTACGGCCCTCGGAGGATGTTGTAAAAATTGAAAGGAAAAAGGTTCCCCATCCCTGCTGTAAATAATAATAAAAACCCTTGATTTATAACTTAACATCTCTGTCTCCTATTGATCTGAGTATATTATAAAGAATAGCCAGTTAATCACTGATATATATATATATAGAAAATGTAAGTTAAATCAAGCATGTAAACTTGCCTTGACGTTTTGCTGTGTTAAAAGCTTTCTTGTGTGTGCGTGTACAGATGTGGAGGTTGACGTTGACGAGCTGAACGAGGAACAGGTGTTGGACGTAAACAAAATGGCAACCCCATACGGGATGGCTGAAGGAGACTTTGTTAGGTAACATCTCAGAGATTATATCATCATGCATCAAAGGTCACCTGTAGAGCAGAGTAAAAAATACAGGTTTGGAAGAGAACAACACCTACTCACTCTCTAAAGTGCTATAGTTTAGATTCTACAGAATAAATAGGAAAGGCAGTAGGGAGTGAGCTTATCCGAAATGTCTTGGTAGAATTTGATTTATCCAATATAAACTCAAAACGTGTATATTAAGAAAACCCTGAAACATAAACCAACAATTACTTAACACTGTTAACATGATGTCTGTTTATCAGGATGTTGAGGAAAGACAAGGAGGAAGTGGAGGCCATCAAACATGCCAAAGCTCTGGAGGCGGAGAAGGCCATGTACTCTGTAAGATAACATCCATTGAGGAATATGTGTGTGTATCATGCAAGTGGTAAATGAGACTTTATAAGTTACCTTTTTAATCATTTCAGGGCCGGCGTTCCCGCAGACAAAGGAGAGAGTTCAGAGAGAAGAGACTAAAAGGAAGACAGATCAGCCCACCAAGGTAAATATATTAGATCTTCGATTCCTCATTATCTGTACCTGAAAACAGGTTTAACTCATGTCCTCATTCTTGTGTATTTCAGCTATGCCAGGAGAGACAGCCCAACATACGATCCCTATAAACGGTCAGTATTTTTGCAAGGATGCATGACATGGATTTTTCAGTCTTTACCCATGACGGATAATTAGCTGCTCATTTCTGAATCTCGATAAGATAACCGATAACTTTTCAAAAATAAGTTAATAATAACCTGTAGTTTGTACACACCTGAAGGTGAGGAAGGCTAATGTGGAGTGAGCAAAGCTGGAGGATTTCATATTTACTAGCTCTGACTTACAACTGATGTTCCTATTGTTAAAACGAGAAAACAAAGAAGAGTTCTGTGTTTTCAACTTTTCATAAAAAATTGTTCATGTATTATGAAACTTGTATTGCAAATCGTGCTGTCTTCCTCTAGAAATGAAAAGCGACAACATGTTTGTTTCTCTTGTCGGCGTGCAGTGCGTGTTCCTCATTTTCTTATTTTCCATTTAGTTTACTGGCGGATTACAAACCTTCTGTATGAGTGTGTAGAGACTGCACTCAAGTAAATCAAATGAATTGGAATACTTTGCCTGATTTATTGGGTGTTCGTGTATATTTTAACGTTTTTTCTGATCTGTCTTTCAGGCCAGAGATGGAGTCCAGCTCAGAGTCGCGGTCACGCTCTCGTTCTCCCGGTCCGGAGAAGATCACCTTCATCACCAGCTACGGAGGCAGCGATGATGAAGCAGTAGCGGCGGCGGCGGCAGCAGCGGCGGTGGCGGCTGCAGCGGCTGCAGCAGCAACACAATCAGCTGCTCCCCACTCAGGACACGCCCCCTCCAGCTTGCAGCACCCTGCAGGTCATAGCAGGGGCTCCCGGTCGGTAACTTTCCTTCTTTCTGGCTTTCCATTAGTTGCAGTCTAAATTGTTGTTGAAATTACCCCAGAAAGAATACTCACGATGAAATACTGTTGTTGTGGTGGTAGGTGAGGTGGATCAGTCAATAACAAATTAACCTATTCTGCATATGCTTAGGAAAACTGTTTCTGGTTTTAAGAGTTCACATACATTATGTTAGATTGTGCATGTCAGATTATGGCAGCGTATATATAAACGTTTTGCGTATTTCATCCTCTCCACAAAGTCGAGCATGTGGTGATTTCTTTCAAACAAGAAACCAGAGTTATTCTGAAGAAGGCTAGGTCCTGGGCTGGTGTTGATACTGAAACCCTGTGTCTCTGTTTGTCCAGGAGAAGAAGGTCATCCTCCAGTCGCTCCCCCTCCTCCTCCTCCCGCTCCTCATCGCGATCCTCCTCCCGCTCTTCTTCCCGTTCCCGCCGCGGTCGACGTGGGCGCGGCGGGAGGGATGGGCGGCGGTCCCGGAGCGATGGGCGGCGATCCCTGAGCCGATCCCGGTCGAGGCGGCGTTCCAGATCTCACTCACGAGGCAGAGCAGGGAACGGAGGGGCCGTGTCCTGGAAGAGGCGGGACCGGACACGATCACGGTCCAACGACAGAGAGCGAGGGAGGGACAGAGACCGGGACCGGGACAGGGACAGGAGACGGTACTCAGCACGCAGGCGGACAAAGTGAGACTCCACAACGTCTCCCAACTGTGTTTAAGTTATAGTTATACCTATCGAGGTGACTCAAGCTCTGCTGTTTTTTCTGTCAGGTCCCGTTCCAGCTCACGGCAGGGGGGCAGCTCGAGGCGAGGGGGGCGGAGCAGCGGGGGTCATCGGAGGGCCGACAGCGGCAGCAAAAGCCCCTCCCGGTCCCCGAGTCGCTCCAACCGCACTCCCTCCCCTCACAGAGGAGCCCCGCCCTCTTCCAACACCATCTGTGACAAGCTAAGAAAGTAAGGACACCATGTAGCAGAGACTAACGAAACAATGACACGGTTTACATGCACAATAACATTTCATTTAGTTAGAATAAGACAATATCAACGTTTTGATACAGTTGTCTGAAGCCCATGTAGCATCTTCTGATGCAATAGGCCAATGTTATCCAGGTTTTAGGAGCATTCTTTGGAGACATAGAAAGCTATTGGGGGCTTTACCGCAGTTTGCAACACAACCCATTTATCCTGTTTTTAGAGTTAGCTCCTGCATTTGTTGTACACAAACCAATCAAACAAGTTGTAGGCTGGTGTTGAGCTGTTGGCCTAAAAAAAAAAAACGACCTAATTTTGAAAGACTTGGATACCCCCCCGCAGACCTTTTTTATAAAGTTGACTGCTTAAAGTAATGAAAGAGGGCAGCTGTGTGTTTCACAGCTGAGAAACTTCTTTCATTGGCTTGTTACAATGATCAAAAATAAGAATGGCATTGCATCTAAATGGAAATATTAGTAGAGTGGAAGTTCATATAAACAGCTAGTTATAAAATATTGTCTTTTTCGGAACTGAATATTTTGTTTATGTAAATGCCTAAGGATTTCAGTTGAACTTAAAAATGTAATAGTTCCTTTTACTGGAAGGGAGCAGCGTCTCAGAGCGATTGGGTATGTCTTCAATTCATAAGGTTAATAAACATTTAACTCTTACATTCATTTAGGTATAACATGAGTTCTTGTGAATAGCCATTTGACACACAAGTGTTATAAAGCCATACGAATCATTTATGAATCGGTGTTTCCCCTACCATTGTATTGGCGGGGCGCTGCCAACGGAGCCCCTCGCCCCGCCTGAAATTCAAGGTTTTTATTTTTTTATTTAAAAAATAAATATGTATATATAGCACTTTTCACATTGAACATGTGCTCTTTTATTAAATAAACTAAACGCTAAATGTTATTTATCCAATGTATGTGCATATTTCAGTGTCCACTGCTTTGCGTATTCACATTCTCCCTCGGCTCTGTTTCTGAAGGGGGGGGCTCCCCCCCCCCACACACTCACACAGACAAGAGCGGCGGAAAGGAGGAGAACAACAAAGTGTAAAAAAGTCAAACAAATCTGCATTATTGCCCTGAGCTCTGCTGTCTGCCCGTTTGTGTCACCCCCCAGTTTCAAATTTGTTTATTTTTTTTTTTTAACCTCAAGCTGTTATCGTCACGGGAGATGTACACACACAGCCTGCCCAGGTGGACGCGCACGAACGCGACAACGAACGTAGCGTGCACATTCTAAAAATAGCTCACAGATGGTGAGCAGGTACCGCGGTTTTAAACTACAGTATTGAATTTGACAGAAAACAACAATGAAACGCAAGCAGAAGAATAGTCTAATGAGTTGGGTGGAAAAAAAAGACAGGAGATGTAAGTTGGTTTATTCAGTAAATAAGCTCAGGATAATTGAATGTTCTGTCTACACCTGTTGATGTGAGGCTAATGCAGGATTTGCTAGCTTGATGCTAATGGCATTTAGCGGCAGTGACTCAACAATTAACAAATTGCCTCTTAAAATGTATCGTCAGCAATGTATGAAAAGCAGACTGCTTGTTTAATGTTAGACTCACACCAATAGCTCAATATTATCATAACACGATTGCTTTCATATCAGAGATCAGATGAGGTGGAGCTGCCTCCAGCAATATAGGATGAGGCAGAGAGCAGCAGCAGCAGCGGCACAGGGTTGCAGCAGACTGTTATATGCTGTAGTCAGGTGATTTAATTGTATCAATGAGAGGAAGAAGTGTAGGCTACATGATAAGGGGAATACAGTTTGAATAAAAGTAATACAGTACAGTGTAACACTGTACTTTATCACTTTTTAATATACAAATACTTTGTTATTGTATGATATCAATAACAATAGGATAAATAAAGATTCCCAAAAGGAATTGGGCCCCCCCCCCCGTGAGCAGCACCCTGCCAAGGCTGTAAACCTAGGGGAAACACTGTGAATGTATTATCATGTTTTTGGAATCAATGTATTCTTTGGCATGAGGAAGGAACAGTTTTTTGTTTATTTTTATGATCAAGATATCCTTATCCCATCGCCTCATCACCCATCTCACTGTTGTTTTTCTGTTGTTTCTGTTTACAGGCCTGATACTCCGGGTGGTAAAGAGACGGGAGCTGCCAAAGTCAGTAAGAATTTGACTTAGCTGCGTTTCTTGCTAAAGCCTACGCCTCCCTCATCCCTGACAGGCTGACTTGGTTTTCCACCAGGCTGGGATGTAGAAGCCATTGTTGCTCAAAGAAAATAATGTGATTTCCCTCCCCCCCCCACAAAGTTGACATGCTCTGCAGTTAAAGCCTACCAACTATTTAGCAAATTACTGTATTGTTCACCTTAAGTGTTTTGCTGAGAACACTAGAGAAAAGACTGAATGCTGTTATCTCTGTATGAAGTGAACATTTCAGCGCCCTGTGAAGTCCTCACTGTGATTTCAGTGTGTGTGCATATATACATGTGGGTGAGAGTCTTTATATCTGTGTGTAGTCTCATACGCAGCAGCAGGTCACACATGAGCCGCCCTAAGGGAAAGAAGATGATTACTTTTTGTATCTTATTTGCCAAGTGATAATTTAATAGTGACTGAAGTTGTTTGATTTATCCCTGATGGAGAAACCTGATTGGAGTGCTCTGGACAGAAGTTTCTTTAGGCTTGTTTTAACAAGCAGAGAACGCTCTTACTCCTAAATTGAAATGCTGTACGTCCCACACACGCATTGCAGCCTTGAGATGAGAGTTCAAAGGAATGGTTTTTGGGAAGTACACTCATTTCCTGTCCTGCAGAGTTGGACGAGAACATTGATTCCCTCATTCAACACAATGATGTGTTAACACGTGAGCTTAAGGTGCTAGTATGCTAATGTTTACAGTCTTTATAATGAGCTAAACTACTTGAGGTAGCTTTATAATCTACTTGCAGGCATGTGAGTGTTATCAATCTTCTCATTCGACTGGACAAGAAAGGAAATGTGTGTATTTCCCAAAAATATCAAACTAGTCCTTTAAAACTGAACAGCATATTTATTTGTTTTCATTCTGAACCAGCTTCTCTTCTTTCTTGGCAAAGAAGAAAATATTTGAATATTCTCCCCGCAGACAAACAGAGGGGAGGTTATTATCTTTTTCCTGCACTGTTGTGACCTGCAGTCTCTTGCCTGGCCAGGTTTAAACGGCCCAGCGATGGGTGTGTCAGTTACAAAATGCCACCGGCTGTTGCTGATGTTTCCAAACTCACCGGACCTGAACTTGTTACACTCTCTGACCCTCTGTCCTTCTTCTGACACACCTTTCTTACAGTGTTTGTACATATAAAAGTGTAAAGATTCATGTTACTGGAGCCTGTCCTGCTGCTAAAATATCCAACTGCTGAAGTGTACTTCTGTCCACACACACACACACACACACACACACACACACACACACACTCTCTGTCTGTTCAGCCTTAGAAATTCAAGTGTGATTGACTTGACACACATCATTTGTCTGCTACCTTTTAATTTTTTTCTCTAATGGCTACTGTACATAAATGTGTTAGTTCTGAGTTCTGAAATTGTATAAGAGCACAGTGCCTTTGATCTCCTTCACACACACACACACACACACACATGTGCACAAAGACACACACAGACTCACACTTTTGTCAGACTGAAAGCATGTGCTAACGCAATTGTGTCACCTGCAGAACAAGATGACCCCACAGGAGAAGCTGAAGATCAAAATGCAGAAGGCGCTCAACAGGCAGTGTGAGTATATACTGTGTTTTTCACTTTGTACACAAATCTACTCAAATGTCCATGTTTGTCAGAGATGCACACTTGCAATATTATTGGCCAATTAAGGTTTTTTTTCTTTTTTCTTTTTTTTTTTTATATATAAATCTGCTACTGATTTTGGTTGTGGCCGATTCCAAATTTTTTTTCAAAGAACTATATTTGACAGTACACAGACATTTTATTGTGTGTCAAAATAAAACATGGACTATTTAAGAAAACGGGTGAGGAACTGAAGATCTTCTACAAGGATAATATGTTGTGTGTGTGTCTGCAACGTAATTTTCTGCCGCTGTTTGAGCATAAATCAATGTAACATAAAACTATCATTCGGCGCGTGGGTAGTTTCACTGGCATAAATCTGTTGGTAAGAAACTGATCGACTGGTCAGAGGCCAGGGTAAATCCTCTGACCATCGTACAGCCTCGACAGGTGGCCGATCGTTCAGTGTAGGGATCGACCGATATGGCTTTTTCTAGGCCGATACCGATTATTGGTAATCAAGCAGACCGATAACCGATATTTGGAACCGATATACATTTGCAGTAAAATCAGAAAATCTTGATGTCAAAATGTAGAATAACACAAACTCCAACACAATTTCTTTGAAATGCATTTAAGCATATATTACGTTTAATGAACTTTTAAACATCTTACAACTGGTTTCCTCTCTGTGCCCTTTTCTTTAGTGCAGCCATCTGCAATGAGTTAGAGAGAGACAAGAAGTGGGGCTGCAGGCTGACATGCTGAACTAACAATAATGCTTAATTTATTATAAATAAAACAATGCCAGTCTATCTAGCATAAAATCCCAATAAGCTGCTAGCAACTGCAAAACACTAGTGCTAGCTAATGTTTTACAAACTATTAAAAGTGAGGCTATTACAGTAGACCTAACGTTAGTCTAGTAGCCTCACTTCTAATATGTTGCTAAACATTTGCTAGATACATGTTGGCTAGCTAATGAGTTTCACATACCAGCCGATGTACATCACTGATGTTAACCTTCGGTAGGTCTTGGAGACATCAAGTGTAAAATAGTGCCATCACGTTAACGTTAGCCTTCTCACTTTGCTCTACCGCTATCTGTATGCTATCTGTATGCTATATATCTGTATGCTATATATCTATCTATCTAATCCAGGGGTTCCCAAAGTGTGAGGCGCGCCTCCCCTGGGGGGCGCCAGAGAGCTTCAAGGGAGGCGCAGCCGCCAGAAAAAAATAAAGAGAAACAGTGAAATGTAGCTAGTTAACTTCAGCTAAATGGATGCGAGCGGCAAAATATGGATAGATTTTTAGTGAAGTTACCTAAAGTGAGAGAGGAGACAGCGACTGTCAGAAAACGGAGGAAGTATGACAATGATTATTTGAAGCTAGGATTTTCATGGACTTGTCCTGATGACACTCCACTGCCACAGTGTGTTATCTGCAACGAGGTGCTAGCTAATGACAGTATGATACCATGTAAACTCCGGTTTCATATTGAGACGAAACACCCATGTTTGGTGACCAAGCCACAGGAGTTTTTTGACCGGAAGCTCAAGGAATTGCAGTCACAGAAAAATGTCATTGACACATTTAGCACTGTGAATACAAAGGCATCATACCGAGAGGCGTTACGGATAGCTAAGGCAGGTAAACCTCACAACATTGGTGAAAAGTTACTCCTCCCTGCTGCTAAAGACATCTCCGTCTCAACTATTTCTCTCCGAGTGCAACGTATAAGGAAGCTGCCATCCTTAACCTCAACATGTTTAATCATAAAGATAAAGAGGTTTAAAAAAGCTATTGTTTAATGTTTTAAGGAGGTGACGCTCAGC